GCAGGGAGGCAGGTATCTGTACTGGTTTGCAAGGTGGTCAGTACAAGCTTCCATAACTCCCTAGGCCTCTGAAAGTGTGTGTGATGGTGGAAGTAATAGGGAGAACAGGTAACTTCGGCCTTTGAAACTAGATATGGGAAAAATCTTGGAATCTAATAGCACATGTGGTGCAGCAAGTCTTTCCCAACTTCCTGATGATATCCAGCTTGCAGCCGCTGACAGTGCCTCACTTTGATAATGGGATAGTGAGATGCGGCTTTTTCCCCTCTTTCTCCCAGATGCGACGTAGAAAATAGGCTCCTCAAACTGGCCTTACTGTTGGTAACTTTCAGTAATTTTATGTTTTTAATTTTGAGTCAGTGTTCAGGTTCATTATTATGCAAATAAGAATTCAAATTATATTTATTAACATTGGACTGAAATTCAGTTTATATTGTAAGATTCATTTTTTACTGATAATTTGAATTCAGCTACTGCCGATTATCTACAGTTCAAGTTTAAAAAGTCATTGTTCTGTTCAAACTGGGCTTTACAAGGACTCTTCTTTGTTCCTCCTCAGTTTTCAGTCTAAAACATTTAGATAATACGCCTTAATAAACACATTCTACTAGGTTCTCAAAATGACAGGGAAAATAATGATATAGTTTGAAATACTATAATTAACAGAATACATATACATACAGAATTGTATATAGTAATTACCATCCATCTTTTGCCTGAAAATATGTGAGCACATTTAAAACTTTAGTTTAGTATTTGGCTCTACTGTTTTCAGAATTGCTTACTGTGAGTGTATTTACATTGTTGCAGGCTTGGGAGGGCCATTTAATCCTTACACAACAGAGCATGTGAAAGGATACTACAGATGTGTTTTAATAGGATAGGGGTGATAAGACTAATAAGTATCTTGTGTTTATTCTTAACTGTAAAGATGAGCTGTTTTCTTCCAACTATTATGCAACACAAATATATGGTAGTTGTGGTGTTTTGAGGTGGGCTATGTGACACTTGCATAGTTGTATTATGAATTGCGGTGCTTTTTTATTTTTATGTTTAAAAAAAAAGACATTACATGATTGAATGAATTGAAATAAATTTTAAATTGTTTTAAGAATAATGGCTGAATGTGTAGAATCTGTATAGCTTACACTGTTTTTCAGCAAGTCAATTCTATGGGGATCAGGTAGCCTCTCTTTATTTTATATGTTCCAAAGAGCTGCTTTTACTAGCTGAATAAGGAAGTGAATCACAGCTTTAGAAATAAATTAGTGAAATTACACTTCTGTTGAGAAACTGGTGATTTAGATTTTTTTTTTTTTCTTGGAAGTTGCAATTCAGTGTCTGGAGACTGTGTTTAAGATTAACCTGGAAGATACTCATCTTGCACCTCCACAGCATTTGATAGAAATGTTCACAAATTCTTTTCACAAGGTAAGAATTTAATTTAGATTCTAAAGTTACTCTGCCAATGTGTGCTAAGATTTCATTATGTATACACAACCTTAAAGTGCTGTATAGGTCAAAACAACGTGGAAACTTAAGGAAAACAGGAAAAAAGTGAAATTTCCATAAAAGCTAGCAGAATGAGAATCTGTTGGGGCAGTGGGAGGAATTAATCTCAGCTAGACAAGAACAATTCCATATAGAAAATTATTAAACACTGGCTGTCTCATTCTCACTTGAAGGATTTTGTCCTTCAGTTAAGCATTTTGCAGTTCCCAGTCATAAATGTCTGCAAAGTGCTTGAGGTCATTGGTAGTTTGCTGATGCTTCTCATCCCCCTCTGGAAATAATTTAGTTGTTCAGTTTTAAAAACATCTTCATGAACACTAACTTTAAAACGGGGACTTTGAAATGTGTACAAAAATACGTCGTTATCTGGGATCCCCGGTACAGGAACCACAGGAGCCATCAGGATGGCAAACAGGAGAGTCAGAAGTAAGAAAACCAAGACTGTAGAGACATACCATCTCTTTTCCCCTTACCTTTCTTAAAACATGTCGTGAGCCATAAGGTTTTATCAGTAGTAGAAAGCAAGCTACCTTCCTCTTCTGAGGATGTTTTAGTGATGTTTTGTTCTTTCATACTTCCTGTGCACTACAGAAAATCTCGTTGACTGTTGATACAGTGCTGCCCAGGATCAAAGAAGTTTTCAATAAAATCAGGGCTTATATTTTAATGAAAAAAAATTTGGTTTGTTTACATACAGAATGACATGCTGCCTCTCTCAGATTCTTTACCAGAGGATGTTGAAAAGGCTGACCAACTGAAGGATGAAGGTTTGGAATAAACACTTTACGCTTTTATTAAGATTATTGGGTTATCATGGATAGTGATAGTATAGCAGCTGGGCAACGCACACCCCACACAAAAACTTAAGCTTATATTCTCTGGTGATTGTTATGTTGTAAGAGAGCTAAGTGATTTGATCCATCGGAGATTTAAGAAAATACAGGCTGTTCTCTCTCTTGCTCAGGAGGTTGCTTAAAAACTAAGGGATAATACATGAAGTCCTGAGCAACATTCCTGAGTTGTAGAAGCTTTAAAGAATGAACAATTATTGTTCAGTATATTATAGATTTCTCTGTCCATGGAATTGCTATACAAGTTTCTACTTTATATTGAAAAGGTTATGTGATGCCATTGTGTGCTAGCTGAATACGAAAACAATGGTGAAAAACTGACCCAGCTGAAGCTAATGGAAAAATTCTTGTGAACTTACTAGGGTCAGTACTTCACATTTGTGAAACAATTTGTGTGCTCTGTAAAAATTGCGGGAAAATCCAGTTGTTTGTTTTCCATTTGATGGATGTTGTTGCTGTTTTGTGAGGAAAAGCAGCTGTACCATAGAAGTCTTCACTAATGCTACTCAAGACGGAATCCATTTTATTTCCTTCCAAAAAGAAAAGGGAAAAAGAAAAAAAAAAAAGGCATGTAGCACTGATAACTGATACGAGTTGTTATCAGGTGGATTAATGCTTAATAAATCACATTTTTTATGACCTTTTGGATTTTCAGATATTTGAGTTTTATAGAAAAATAAGGTTCTCATTGCAAGGCAGATATAATCCTCTCAAAAATTTCAGAATAATGATGTGAAAAAAATTCTACTGTTTTTGAGAATGAGTTCCATGGTCTGTCTAATCTTAAAACTAGTCATCTGTAGTCATGAATACAGTCCATTACTGGCTCTGAGGGTAAGTTTTCCTAGTTGTTGAAGTTGCTTATTAGCTCTTTAATCCTGAGGATAGGAGCTCAAGCAAGGCTAGGTCACAAGTGAAAAATAGTTTGTGAGTTGTAACGTACCCGCTATGCATGCTGGCTTTTCATTTTGCTGTCTGTTACTGCCAGCTCACGGAAAGAGAGGAATACCTGTACCACTCAGTGTGGTTATTGAACTGTAGGGATATTCAGCACTTTCCAGGTGTGGGTGTTGTAGCAATGCCTGTTTTAAATCTGTGACTTCTGTCTTGTCATCTGTCAGCCCACAGAGATTTGTGAAATAGACTGAGAAAATGAAATTGATGTGTGCTGTGTGTTAGTTAGTCTTTGTGGGGTGTTAAGAAGCAATCCCATGTCTCTTCTGAAAAAATTGAAAGAGTCTAAACTTTGACAAAGGGCCATTTAAAGTGTCAGATCTCAGGGGCATTAGTAAGCAGTTTGGAACTGCTTGAAACGCCTCTTAACTTCCCATAACAAAATTAAAACTTCTGTCTTGTTTTCTAATGCCGCTGTGTCATATTAATGAGGAGGCTTATTTTCACACATGTATTATCTATCACCACCATCGTGCTTTTCAGTTATGACTATTTCCTGCCCTGAGTTAGGGAGATAAATTAGATAACTTGAGGAAGTCCATTTGAATCCATATCTTCTATAATACTTTAATTCTATAACTGTGTCATTTCCCTATTTCTATCTGTATGTCCTTACCAATGGAATAACTTCCCTGACCTTTGTGGCCACCAGCCTGCTCCTCCCCTGCTCTCAAATCAGCCCTAGTACCTGTAGAAATTGGCTAATGAATGGCAAAGCAAAATCAGATAGCTTGAGTTTTCTTTCTTAGTAATTATAAAACTCGGAATATACCCTCCAGACTAGTAAATACTTGAATTTACTTGCCTGCCCTTGTATATCAGTTGACACCTCGGCTTAATTTAAGATTAAATTATGTGCAGGTTTGTATATGTAACAGTGGCTTGATCCTAAAAAGCTCTGGGTGTTACCACAGTGTAAATTACAACAATAGGTAGTATTTTTGTTATAGAGGACACACATTCAGAAGTATAACCATTTGTGGCTTTTTTTGTCTTAAGAATTTTTGTCTGGTGTTAAAATAAAATATTACAGTTTCTTTTCCTTTTGTCTTGAATTGCCTAATCTCAAAAGAAATGGTAGGTCTGGCTATTTTTGTTTTCCTTTAGCCAATTTTAAGCTGGAGAGAGAGAGTGCAAGAAAGGTACCTACTGATACTAGCTCCAATTTAGCTCTATACCCTAGGTCATCCTTAGTTCAGAGCAGTGTCAGAAATTTCAGCTTTGATAGTCATTGATGGCAGTTTTGTTTTAGAGAAACGTTAACTGCTGCAATCTCATCGAGTGCAGCTAACTTGCAAGACTTTTATCTGACAACAGGATTTAGTGTACAGACCTCTACCTTAGATCAAAGGAAAGATGTGTAGATGGTGGGCCTGTAGAAATGAGACAGATACGGTTGCATTCAGTGTATATTTTGAAGGTATACACGCAATTACAGTTTCAGTTTGCCTTCTCACTGGCAGAGATTGCTGACTATAATTACAGACTAGTATAAAACTATTGGGAAGAGGTGATTTCTTACTACCTTCATGATACTTAGTTACTTGAACCTGATTTTGTTTGATTTTTTTTTTTTTGTCTGATTTTTATTAAGCTCTTCATGTTCACAAATGAACGCAAGTGTAGTTGTTTTCAGTTAGTACAGGCAGCTAGGACTGCTTGCTGCACAGTCTGTTGCTTTCTTTCAGAGGCAAATGATTCACTGACTGAACTCTTCCAGCCTTTGCTTATGCGGTTATCTACATCTGTAGTAACCTGTTGACTTATCCCTTCTCTTGCTTATTTTTGGAGATGGTTGAAATATTTTGCCAAAATACAAGGAAGTCAGTGGAAGTCTATAATTTTCCAGACAATTTCTTGACATTTCGGGGAAACCAAGGCTTCTGTAGAATCTAGTGGGCCAAAGATCCGTGGTTGCAAGGACAACCTTAAGCTTAGGCACTCTGAACTAGAACTTTTTCTCTACTGGTCTGTCACCAGGAAAGAAACAAACTCCCAGGACTGCTCTACTTCGGGGAGTAAAGAATGTATAAGGTATCTTTTTTTTTTGAAAGACCTTATTCCAAAATTTTCTTTCCATAGAAAAGTTACATTTTTCTATTTTTTTCACTGGACTTAAAAAATGCGAAATACGAAACTTCATTATAGAGTAGAAATTCTGAGCTTCTTGATGAGAAATGTTACCTCTGAATCATTTTAGTTTGCCTCTGCTATACATACTTTTCATTATCTTAATGAATTAATTATGTGGCATCACAACAATGGGGCTTATATGATCAGCTTTGCTTTTGCTTGATTTTCTGTGGTATACGGATAGTTACAAGCAAGTTGTTGGGACATGTGAGAAAATGAGGCCAGAAAGAAATTAATATATAGCCTATTGGATTATGAGGCTTGCAAAGGTAGTTAAGACTGATGAATTTATATTAGAGGGAAATGGCAATTATTACACTTTTCAACAAAGTGATCTTTGCTTAACAGCAGAAACTAGTGAGAAAGTGTGAAATAGCAAGATGAGAAGGGGAAGGTTTATGTGGTGGACTAAATGTACATAATAAACTTTACAGATACAGTACATATTTTTATTTGCATTATTCTATGCTAATTCTATTTAAAAGACTTTACCTCAAAAAAGTGCAGTTGTAACTACCTTATATAGGTGCTATAATGTGGTTGCTCTAGTTCTTTTGTACATAGCACTGTGTCTTTTAACCACTTAAGAGCTTTTTATAATTCATTTCAGGTAATAATCATATGAAAGAAGAAAATTATGGTGCTGCAGTGGATTGTTATACTAGGGCTATAAAAATGGATCCAAACAATGCAGTCTATTACTGCAACAGGTAAAAACAAAATAATACACACTCTTCATTCCCAAACTTCATCAACTTTATTTTAAAGATAAATTGTGAAGTAGACCAAAACAACGTGAGGCTAGAAAACCCCACTGTTCAGAAATTTATCATGTTAAATTTGAAAAAGATCTAAAGCAAAAGTGAGCTCATTCACCGTATGTGTATCAGTTGTAGGTGTAATATGAGCTTTAAAATTACTTGTAACACTTAAGAATCAGGTTTTTGTGAGTTAGTTTGTCTATATTAAATCATAACGTAGGCTGTGATTCCCAGTCTGTTGAAAGTAGTAAGAGCCTTTTTTTCTGATATTCTAGTGACTCAGCTACCATCTCTATCTCCCGTAGTATTGACTTTCCCTGGAAAAAATATCATCAATGTGGGAATACCATTTTGGAGATTTTAAGCATTGTGTAAATACTCAGCATTTTTGTACATGACCTGTGGAAAAATAACAAGGCTCTTGTTGTAGTTTCATTGTATAATCTGTTCTTCACCATAGTGAAGCAGATGAGCAGATGAAGTCTGGAAGGGCGTGTTAACCCAGTAGCAGAAGTTTGCTCTTCCAGAGTTCTGCGCAGAAGACCAGCATAAGGGCAAAAGTAGTATAGCTGTTGAACCCTACTGGAACTAGCCTGCCTCTAGAGCCATTCTGCTCTACACTCTTCAGTACCTCCATTACCAGAAGGATATATTAACAAAAGTGCTGCCAATTTGGTCTTGCGGCACTGTACCCAGTGGATTTGTCTATTTTTGGAACTGTGCTTCCATTACTCCAGAGTTTAGTTTGGGATAAATACAAGCAAAAGATTCAGCGTTTTGTAGCAAGCATAAAAAGAAAGGAAATGTGCAGTTTACTGATATTTTACGTCTTTAAGATGGCAGTTCAAAGTGTAAGTCATCTATTTTCCTTGAGAAAACTGATCACAAAAGTGATTTTAGGTATAAAATGGAAATGTAAAACCAGATTCAAAAGCCTCCCAAACACCGAAAGTTTCCTCAATAGAATAGGCTTAAGCACCAAATCTGTAATTGGCAAGAGTGGAAATACTTCACTCTGTGCATTACATCATCACATCTGTGAGGACCAAAATGAGTCTTGTGTCAGTAAGAACAGTATTGTATGAAGTTATTTAAAAGAAGACAGGCAGTTGCTTGGAGTTCTGTGGGTGATGCGGTATTTGAGTAAATATAAGCCTTACTCTTATCTTTCCTAAGCTAGTTTGGGAGCAATGGAGATGCATTGCCTTTAACAGTATGGCTTTTTTCTCATAGCAGTGAGAAGAAGAGCTGAGATGCCATCGAAGTTTTAACTGGCCATATAACTTTTTTGTAAACATGGAAAAAATATTTTCTGTTCAAACATATGAGAGACTAAGCATTGTCCCCAGCTTTTATCCATACATCTTCAATGGCATCTGTGGAGTTGGACAACTGTTAAGCAACCTAAATATTTAAAATATATAAGTAATCCCATTCAGAAGAGATTTTAATCAAAGTCAGAAAAAGCGTGCAATTTGGAGGTCATCACAGGAGAAAGGATTGAATGTAGTGATGATTGTAGCATCTGGCATTCCTAATAAAAAAGAAGAATGCTTTATGCAATGGAAGTAGTTGTCGTTTCTACTATAGTTTTTTAATCAAAGAAGAACAAATTAGACTGCTTCCAGACCTTTCAAAACGGAGAAGTTTTGATTATAGTCTGTTCTATTGTCCTTTCTAATTTGAGCTAGTCTTTAATCTTACTGTATAAATGCCTGCAACATTTACATTCCTCTGGTATAGAGATGCAATCGTAATTTAGTAATTCAGAGATGATTGAGAAATGTTATCCTGATTTACCTGCAAGCATGAGTTGCCTGCTAAAAAACTGAGCAGGAAAAAGTCACAGCATTCCTTTGAACAGCAGTAAATCTATACCTCTTGGCTGGAAAACGCAAATTGTGAAGAATACTTCTGCTTAAACAATTATTTTAGGTAAACTACAACTTGAGAGTTTTGCTTTTCGTAATAGGTTTTATGATGCATTTTGTGCATAGTCATGCTGGATCTAAAACAGTTCCTTAGAATTATTTATCCTTTGTGTATTCAAAGGTGAGTGTGTGTTCTCCAAAGCCCTAGTCTAGCAGTGCATTTAAGCACATATTAATGCAGAACATTTGCTTGTCTTGCTTGAGGAAAGCTGAGGCATTGCCTAAATCACGAATGAAAAGTCAGTAAGATTAAACAAGTCTGAAGTTAGTCATGGACATGTGAAGAGCTAAGCTTTTTTTTCCTTTTATTGTTTTTTTGACAAAGCTGTCTTCCTTCCCTCCCGTCTTCCTCTTAGGGCTGCTGCTCAAAGTAAGCTCAACAACTACAGTGAAGCAATAAAGGATTGTGAGAGAGCTATAGCAATAGATCCAAAGTACAGCAAAGCGTATGGGAGAATGGGGTAAGCTAATAAAAATCTGAGTAAACACTGAAGACCCAAGTGTAAATCACTGTAGATTTTCTGAAATAAGTGGAGCTAGGTTGTTTTACTTAGCTGACATCTTTCTTCTGAAACCGTAGCAATTTTCTGAAGATGACCCTATCAGACTGTTGGCTTTAAGCTTTATAGATGTGGTTGATCTCGGCATTTTTCCATCAGATTTCATCAGATTGCAATTTTTTTCTTTCAGTTGATCAACTTTGCAAATTTAGGAAAGCTATGATGTGTTTTTTCTACCTCCTACCTAGTTATGAGTAATCAAAATTCTGCAGGTGGAACAGTGAATCTGTTAATGATGCTGTTAGAGAATGGAATCCTAAACGTATTGGGGCTTCATGCTAGCAGGAACAGAGGCTTAATTTTTCTGTTCAGTAGCTCTTTGGAAGCAGATATTTTAGCAAGACTAAGCTATGTCTCTTTGGTAGTTTTTCTGGGTCATGTCTGAGAGATTAACAATACAGCCTCTTTAGGCGGTGGGTCTGATTAAGTGCTATGTGGAAAAAAATGTCAGGAGTGTTCCGAACGGGATATCGACTTGAGTGAAGGGCCATTCTTCCAAGATGTGTAGCTTTGCATTTTCAATAGCCAAACATATTGTGGGTGTGTGCTGCATGCTTCATAAGGCTTTTGAGGTTATATCTGTGCTAGTAAATTAAAAAATGCTTGGGATTGTTTCTTGGGTCAGCTGGCACAAAATGGCCCATGTCCATGTTACTAAAATCTAGTTTGCAGTATGAAGTCGTTACATCCAAACTGCCTGTTGCTAAATTGTGTTGGCCTATGATAAATTCTGAGCCATGCCCCTAGATTGTCTAGGATAACGCTTGTTGGCCTGGGACAAAACCATGTCAGGGGGCATTTGTTTAAGATCAAAGATGATGGAATTCTGTCACTTGAAAACTTTCTCCAAACCAGTTTATTTTACTAATACAAATGTAGCCTCACTGGCTTTTGAGATCATTAATTCACTGAAATTTTAGTGACTGTTGAATTGGTTTTGTCCTATTTAACTCTCTTTAGGTTGTTTCTTCATATAGTGCAACCCAGGATCCCCTGATTTCAGTGAGATGGAGGGAAGCTATGGGCTGGTTTAATTGGAAGTTTGAGGTTATTTTAGAGTTTTGGGTGTAAGACCAGTGTGCCTTTTGATACACAATGAAAGTGGGATCGTTTTTGGGCAATCAAGCTTCTCTTTTTTTTTTGGTTGTCTGGTGGTTTTGATAGAAGCTGTATTTTGAGCTACAAGCCATTGCTTAACTAAGCAGGTAGATATAATAATACATTTGGCATAGGAGGAGAGATTTGAATGAGGAGACAGTATGAATGAAATAATACATTTGAATGAGGAGACAGTGCTTGCTTAGTAATAACTGAAAAAAACAAGTGCAGAAACCACCTTCTCAACAAAAAATCGTTATGAGAAAGCTGGTTTTCTGGCTGCATTATGCAGGTATATCAGTTTTTCTCAGGATTTGACAGAAACTCTTATTATATGTGACAGAAAGATGCAGAAGCGTCACAGAAATACGCAGAGATGGGAGCCATGTAGACAGTTAAAGCGATACTTCCAGCCTGACCCTGAGAGAGCACTTTTCTGTGTCGGAATTGTGAGCAAAGAAACCATTGCCTGCTGTTCTGATTTGTACTTTGTCCAAGAAGCAGAATTTTACATGCTTTCTCTGTAAAAAAAACCACAATTGCATCACAGAAATACCTGATTGCATTTCTTATCTGGTCAGAAACTATTTTGGCAAGTTACTGGGCCAAAAGGGAGAATGATTTTTTTTTTTTTTTTTTTTATGGGAGTAACTGTGTTAAGAGAGAAAACATTAATAGTGCATGGCTTCCTCTAGGAGCATTACTGGGAACTCCTAGAGTTTCATACTGTAATTGAGTTCATCATCATTGAGAGTAATGACTGAGACTGATACATCTCACACACTGAGCTCTCTTGCCTGGGATAAGGCTAAGGTCAGTTAGTGGGCATTGGCACAGGCTTATAAACTCAGTCTGGTAGCTCAGCACATGCCAGAGAGGGACTGGAGTACTAAGCAGCTGAATGTGGGTTAACAGATCTTTCACAAAATGTGGAAAAGATCAATTTAGCTTTGTGGTCAGTATAAACTGAAAATACAGTAGAAGATAGAATTGAAACTGCAAACAAATGGACTTCTGGAATAGCTCAAAGAAAGATGATGTTTTAAATGTAGTAGCTAATCAAATTTGAAAACAAATACTGTTTCAAAAGTAGTAGATCTGTCCTGTGCTCTCCTGAGCTGCTGGAGAAGAATCTTTTTCAAAACATTGAGCAGACCTCTCTGATACAAGGGTTTCTTAACAGCATCTTACAGATGTTACTATTCTCCTGTGTAACCCATTTGTCAAGCTGTCGAAGATCTGAAAGGAGAACCTTGCACTGATCCTAAGACAAAAATTCCTTAGGGATCATCTCTTCTGCAAACATAAGTGCTTGAACTAAGCAGTAGTAGCACAACAGCAAAACTTGCTTTAACTTAGTGCTCAGGCTAAAAATTAGTTGTGAGATACTGTTTTACTTCAAACAGAAAATGTATCATAATCTTGTGATGGTCATTCATGTTCTACCCAGGATTTCTTTATTTCACATTAGGTTGGCTCTCACCTCAGTGAATAAATATGAAGAAGCAGTTACCAGTTACCAAAAAGCACTGGATCTTGATCCAGAGAATGACTCTTACAAGTCAAATTTAAAAATAGCAGAACAGAAACTAAGAGACATGTCCAGTCCTGTAAGTTAGCTCTGTACCTTTATTTACAATAGTTTTACCTGGGATTTTGTCGGTAAACTTATCTTCAATTGCAATTTGTTTGCAGACTGGAACTGGTCTGAGTTTTGACATGGCAAGCTTGATAAACAATCCTGCCTTCATTAGTATGGTGAGTAAATTTCAAGCTTTACTTTATACTGTTTTTAAAACTGGAGTTTTAAGAACAGCTCTTGTTTAATAACACAAGCAATTTTAATCCTTATTATAATGGCAATGGTTTTATTATACTGAATTTAAACTTTTCTAAGTCATTTTACACTCAAAACAAGAAGTGAAGCATAAATCTACTATAATGCCTGTCTTCCAATTAATTCTGTCTTACTTATAAACAACAATGTGCATAGACTAACTGTGCTGTTTTTATAGATAGCATGATAGTAAACCACTTGTCAACAGCCTGGTGAAAATTTCTTTTCTATTCTCCACATAGCAGGTAACAATGAATACAAAGAAATTACCTCTTAAGTGAATAGCATTTGATTCTGATGCAGTCTACCCAAGACTAGAGTAACTCTGCTTGGGGAGAACTACCCAAGATACCTTTCTGTTCTTACTCTTTCAAATTACCGCTGACATCGTTGGGTGTGCAGGACTTCATGAGGTGTGCAGTCACTGAATATGAGTAACATACAGTGCATTCCTTTACTTTCAGCACAATGTGGGGTTTGTCCCTCTGTAGTTTTTATCCACGTGTGGCTTTCTTAGCTAAATGGTATTTGTTAACTTTGAAGAATTGAATTTGGAGGGAAAAAAATGCAAAAAATACTTATTTCCCTTGAGAACTCAGTTAAAACTTCACTGTCTCTCAGGTAGCTTTATTAGGACAGGACATTTCAACAAGTGCCTCCGTGTGGAAATGCACTTCTTGCAAGAGAAATCAATACATCTAATCTGATACTATGGTCCAAATAATAGAGACGGTGGGCAAGGAAGAAGTGAGTGAGTTCTTCAGTGGCATCAGTGATTAAGTAGCACTGGAACTCTGTGTACCACTTCATTGGCCACATGACTGAACTCAGTCTGCATCTCTTTAGAGTCAAAGATGTACTTACTCTTCAATATGGAGCTAACTATGGGGAAATGATTTTTTTGTATCATTTCCAGAAGGTGCCTGGTCAAGTGGATAGAGCACAGGGCGTTCAGCCAGGAACGAATTAATTATTTTCCTGTGGTGTAGTTTTTTGTTTTGTTTTTAAGGAAAAAAATTGACTCACTGTCTGACCTTGAGAAAGTTATTTCTAGCTTCCACTTTGGGCCCCTAAGCTAGACCATACGTGCTACTGATGGAAGGAAAAAAAAATACTTCATTACCCATAGGATTAACCTAAATTTGGCATTTCATATCCCACTTTAGACCAGAAAAAACAGTTTATTTACTTTTTGAGATACATATATGTGGAGCTATATCGATCAATAAAATGAACATTGTATATATCTGGGTTTTGTATTACCTTTAATAAGAGAATGAATAAGAAGATACTGTGTTGTGCCTGTTGGTCTTGTATTCATACAGACAGTGATTTCTGTAGGAATTATGTTACTAACTTCAAAACATCACCTGGTACATTCTATAGTATCTGTCCATATACACTCTTACACTATGGTAAACATACTATAATTTTTGAGGTATCGTATGAATGAGAAATTTAAATAACCTCATCCATACTACAAAGTAAGAAGGTATGCAATTACCACAGAAGATATATGTTACCACAAAACCATGCTACAAATTAAGTCCAAGCTCTGGTTTACTCTGCAATATTTTGTGGCCATAATCTTAACGGTTGATACCCAGTAGTAATAGCAGTTGCAACACTGATTTATCCAGGCTGGGAATCAACAAAATACAGATCTTTCTCCAAAAAGCCCAATAGAAAACCTTTGTCCTTGGAAGTCTTAAGTTAAAATTTTATTTTTTTTTTTAGTTTTCTGATACTGGGTTTTTATGGTTAGTGTTATCTTGTCACGTTTTTCATTCTGAATCTGTAATGACTGTTTTTTATCTAATATGTAACAAATTGTCTGAGCTTTATATCCTTGAAATACGTTCCTGTAATGATTCCTTTTGCTGGGAACCATGCATCTCTGTGCACATAGACTTACCTTAATTTTGTAATAAAACATAGAATACAGCATGTGTTTTTTTAATTTCTTTTTCCACATTTTCTTTAGTAATACCTAAGTAGTAAATGTGTTATAATTTCAGCTATATATTGTCTATTCTAGGCAGCAAGCTTAATGCAGAATCCTCAAGTTCAACAGTTGTAAGTATTTAAATGGAGTACCATTGAAACAAAAGTCTTTAGGGGTTTGAATTAATAAGAGAAAAGGTGGATAGTACTGTATTCCTGAAAATGTAATTTTATTGTTGCTTACTGTAAGTAAAACCACTGCAGTTTCTTCCCCTTGCAGCTTATTTCCTCCTAGCAATTCAAAAAAGAACTACAGTTAATTGCTTACTGTAAGGTTTCTGCATACCCCAGTGCCAATGCTGTGCTGCTAACTGTTCCAGGATGTCAGGGATGATGTCAAACGCCATTGGTGGCCCTGCTGCAGGTGTTGGTGGCCTGTCGGATTTGTCCAGCCTGATCCATGCGTAAGCGTCACGAATTGCGTAGTTTTAACTGTACGTTTGTAGAAGCATCATTGTGCAACGGCTACTTAAAAGGGATAGTGTCAAGCCAGTTCTGCTATGGCCTGTCCCCACTATATGCTTGAGTATTATTAAAAGAAAGAACGTGAAGACTTATTTTCCACTATCTTGTTTGTTTGCTTTGTACATTTCCATCAATTTGAATGACTGAACTGTGTGCTCGGTTTCACTTTCTGGTTCTCATACACTGTTTACTTTCTAAATACCACTTACTAAACACACTTGTTTAAAACTTTCAAGTACTCCTACATGTGCTTTCAAATTGCTTTGATAAATTTACTACATGATATCCCAGACACTAGTTAGAAAAGCTACAGATCTACTGAGTACAGGTGGCAAGAAGTTCTGCTCTGGCATCCCTGCATTTAAACTAGGAAGGTTTCAGGGAACTCAGTGTAATGAGGAGTAGCTTTTAGAAAATCCAGGACCCAAGTCTTTTGTAGTATAATAACGATAATCTATCTGGAAGAGTCTGCATAAAACCATGCAATTCGCTTATATAGCAAGACCTCTTAAAGGGCATACAATTTGACTTTATTTCAGCATTCTAGTCTGTTTCCAATTATTTTTAAGTTTTGCCCCTTCAGGGTAAAAGTAATCTAAAATTCACATCACAGATAGGAATGCGCTCCACAAAATCAAGGGCTGTCTTCACAAAAAACATGGACTACACCTAGATCTATGAAAATAGTGGCTTTCCTGCAACCTTCACTGTGGTCTCGATAATTTGCTACTTGGGCAAAATGCAGAAGTTACAAAGAAGTCATGCCAGGCTATTCATAAAGTAATATGTTTTACTTACTTACTTGTTTTCTCTAGTAAACCAGTGTTGTGCTTATCTTTTACATGGAATTAATGTCACCTATTATGGTAACTCCTAAGCTACAACTGTTGTGGAGATGGATCTGTCGTTGCTTCCGTCATACAAGACATGAAGGCGTAACGGTGTGCTTGCTTGCATCTAAAGACGTCTTGCTCACAAGTACTAGTTGGCAGCCGCACACTGTATTTCTGGAAAAACTAATATAAGGTTGTGCTTCAACTACAAGAGTAGTTATCTTAAACAACTAGAATGGATCCTCCCAAAAAAGAAGGGAGCAAATCAATGGAGCAGATTTTTTGCTAAATTTTAGTTTTACCAAGTAAGGTAATACTTTTTTCCTCCATGTTATCAAGTAGAATAGTCCTAAACAATGAAAAAGAAGATCTGATGATAATCCTGTTTGCAGAGACTTTAACTAGATAGAGTCATAATAATACAGATATCTTGATTAAGACTCTACAGCAAGTTATCTTTAGTCTTAACTGTCATATAATGCACCTTTCAGTTGTTTTAGGATATCTTGTTTTCTTAGAAATGCTGCTTGTCAGGTCTTTTCACTTGCTGACTTTACTTAAAACTGTTCAATGCAGGGGCCAGCAGTTTGCACAACAGATACAGCAGCAGAATCCAGAGCTCATAGAGCAACTGAGAAACCATGTCCGGAGCAGATCTTTCAGTGGCAGCACTGAAGAGCATTCCTGACTTGAAGGAGGCATGTGAATTGGAATGGAATATAACCCCAAAATGCATACCATAGTTAGTAGCAAAAGCACCATTGTAACTCTTCTGCTTGAATAGAAGACAGAAAATTCTTTGTGCGTGTTTGCAAGCAAGAATAAATCTGTTAAACAGATCTATTGCACATAACTTGGAACATACAGTTGATGTATATTACTCCTTTGAAAATTAATACACTAATAGGTGGTTTATTAAGATCTCTTAAGTACAAGTCATTTTCAGTACGTGCATTAGATTGATCTCCAGGGCTATCGAGCAGGGAGGAGTTGTGTAGTGGGCTGATCTCGCATAACAGCTTAATTCTAAAATGCTAGTGTAAAAGGCATGTTATTCTTATGGTGAAAATCATGTTGGCTGTACTCCCTGTCAAATCCTGAAACAAATCCTGAAACATCTGATGTGCCCTTTTATAAATGAGCATAAACCAGTGGTGGAGTACAGAGTATACTTAAAACTACTGCTTGAAAAGTCTGTTTCTTTAAGTCTGTGGAGGGGCTGCCATTAGTAACATGAAGTACTTTTCAACTTCATTGCGCAGGACGCAAGGAGATGATTGCATATGAAGGGGTACCACAAATTGTAGAGAAGGAAAAGATGCTAATCCTGAGTAGGATAATACACAGAAACCAAAATGGAACTTGGCTTGGGAAAAGAAAGAGTATTAACAAGTTTTAGGCTTTTCTGCTGCCGTGTATACCCTCAAATCATGATGGTAGCCCTGGAGGTCAGCATTACGGCACTATTTTCCTAGGCATGGCAAACTGTACAACATTCCATATGTATGCAGTACTTAACATAAGCTTAAAATTCTTAACTGTAATAAACTAAAATTGATCCTGTGACTGTACAAATAACTAGTACTGAAAATGTATCAAAAAATAACTGCCTTAGAAAGAAAGATTCTCTTTCTGTTCTTGTGTGGTAAATCACCGGCTCAAACAATTAAGGATTATTTTTTTTTAGGTTTCATTACACATATCTATCTGAAGTGATTGTTATATGGCCAAGTTAAAGATTTTTTCCACTCTATAGTATTTCTGTTCCTACCCTGGCTTTTCTTGCTCAGTTAATCTTACTCTTTCTGAGACCACTGCTTTTCTGTATTTTTATTATGTTACCTTTTTTTATTCTACTACTGTTCACATTACTTACTGGTACCAGGTACACTTGTTTTTACTCCAGGGAGGTTCTCAACACTCACACTTTCCTCTTCATATATGAAAACTAATTTGAGGAGCCTGCTTTGAGTCTTAAGTCCAAATGATCTCTGCTGGCCGGTTAGACCGGAGAAGGTATGTGGAGGAATAACAATAGACTCCCAAATGGAGAAATACACAGGAACTCCTGACCTCAGACATTGTATGTGATTCATCTTGTGGTCAAAAAAGAGCACCTCACGTAGAAACAAATGCAAAATCTAGGGCTAAGTAATGCACTTGACTCTAAAAAATGTGTCCTGGATTAAGTGGAGGATTAGCTCTCCTGCTTGGTTGGGGAAACTGCTCACTGGAGACTGGAGCAACAGCTTTCTTGGAAGAACCGGAAAAAAATCCCATTTGTGGTTGTTTTCCCTTGCTCCAGTCTCCAGTGAGCAGCTGTGTGGTGCTTCCTTGCTGGCTGGGATTAAACCATGACAAAATGTTAGTTGTCCATCTATTGTATGAGTATTCCCCTACTAAAATGGGAGGGTTGTGGGGAAGTGCAGCTGGATCCAAGGAATAATGAATTGGAGAAGACACAAAAATAGGAAATCTGTATTACCATCTGTTGAATAAAGAGGTAGAGCTTAATAGAGCTAAACGCATTTCCTACTGTATTCAATAGAGCTTGCCTCTACACAGCATTAAAATACTTTTTAAAATTCTCTATAAAGTTGCTGTAGCTGCCTTTTTGAGGCTGTAGAGATTGTTACATTAAATACCTTGACTTAATAATTGACTTAATTAAATTCAGATTACTTAACAACTGATGACAGAGGAGAAAATCCCTAACAGGATATTTTTTCAGAGGTAGTTCAGATCCTGAATCTGATCCATTCAACAAAACTGGTTACTTAAGTTCAGTTTTGTTTAATAGGACAGGACACCGTTTACCAGAAGGGTTGTGGAGGACGCAGATGGGCTACAACTACTGTACAAGCATTGCATGGAGTAGCGTGTTGTGTGAGGAGCATTTCTCCTGGCCTATCTCCTGTTAAAATCTATGGTTCCTCTTAGTTCTCTCTTTCATATTTTCAGCTGTTCAAAGTGAGTTTTTGTAACTTTGATAAAGGGAACCAATAAATCCAGAGTGGACTGGACAGCACTGCAATCTCTCTCACAATTTATCCTTACTTTGCAGTTGGTTACCTTTCTACTTTAAGACAGAAAGAGAGTCAAGAACCTCTTGAGAGTTCCTTAAGAACCACAAAACACAATAATATTCAAACACTGGCTATAGAATTCGTACTGTCAAGTACAAGCCCTGTAGCTTACGTAGTTTATGGGAGAACTGTCTCCAGGGTTAAATGGAATGAAGCACTCTTGGAATCATCTTTACAGAGCTGTAACTTGTGTTTCACGTACTACAATATTGTCATGTTTAGGTTTTACTCCAGTACAGATAATATGTAACCAGAGTATTTATTAAAACATTGATGGCATTAGCTAATGCTTCAGGAACGTGCTACAACTGGCACGATACTTAACTTGTAAACGTTCTTTGTTTCTTGTATATTAATAGAAAGGGCTTTATAGCCTAAATAAAAAAACCAACAAAACGAATAGCAGGAGCTGTCGTTACATGCTTTTCCACTGAAGCCAGAATGGGGATCATTTATACTAAAATCTATTTTGCCTTGAATAGACTAGATTGTTTCAGAGTCATGCCATATGTCTTAATCACAGGGTGAGGAAGGAGTCTTTTCCTGTGTGATAACTGCACTTTATTCTGCACTAAAATTTTTCATCCTGCTAGATCCAAGTGGTAAACCACAATGCCCGTAAATACTGCTTTAATTTAAGGTCAACTGCAGTTTATCATTCAACTGAGCAAATACACATTTAATACCTAATTGGTTTTGTATCATTACTGTTCCATCAGCATATAAGTGTGATAATTGTTAGAGAAGAAAATGTTTTGCACTCAATTTGTAAACTTCTGTAACCCGCTTGCATGAAAATATATTGTTCTAACTATGCCTGATCATCAAAACACCTAAGGAAATATTCAGCTTAGGAATTGTTTCAGTTGCACTTTTGGTTTTGTAACAAGTGCAAAGTAAAATCACTCATGCATACTGAGAAAGAACTAAGTCTGCAGCTTTGGATTCTCAACACTGTTTCAGGGCTGCAGAAGGTCATATTGGCAAAATGCAACTTGTCTACCATTTCTGTATCTCTCCTACCTCCTATTACCATATGGTTAGATCTCGTTTGACTTGTGTCAATTTAGCTTGGAAATAGACTATGAATAAAGTTATTTACATTTTTTTGTGTGGATAGTTGTGGTTTTAGTTTGTTGATGCATCTAGAGTAACAGGCAAATTGCATTCTTTAAAATACCTGGTTTTATTGATTGCTCTGCATTTTATTAGATGTGCAGAATATAATTTTGATTTTTTTTTCTCCCCTGTATGGATTCATTCTTTAATTTAGTGAGCTGGTCGTAAATTTATCCAGTATTTTAAAATTGAATTCTCCACTTAAAAGATTTTACACACAGGAAAGCTTAAGTAAAATACTGTCAAAAATAACTAAGGTTGCTAAATGCCAATATGGCAGCTGAGAAACATGACAAGCAGCTGAGCAGAATCTGGAACGCTGGTTAGCTAGTGTTAAACTAGGAAAACCAGTCACCATTTTCTGTATTAAATGGCAACCTTTGGGTGACCTGAGATATTTCAGCCAAAAAGATTTCCATCTTTTGTCAAACAAAGTACATTTTAGTGCTTAACCAAGTCCTGAACTCCTTCCTGTATATGCTTTGGAGAACTTGATCTAGGGCAGCCATGCAGGGCTTTTCTCTTCATTTTCCTAAAGATCTACTTAAATGCCTCTGGCATGGGAAGAATAATTTGCACCACCTCAGTTAACGATAATAAATGCCCGAGTTCCGCTATTTTACTTGTCAGTTCCCAACTAATTGGGCAGTAATGTGCCTGTTCACAGCAAGCCCTGTATTGCAGGGACGCACAACTCTGCACGCAACAGCAGTTATTTGGGACCGATTTGCTGTATTACTCCGTTCCAAAGATGGAGCCACAACCAGCACATTCTTTGGCTGATGATCTGCCTTCTAGCTGCTGGCATCTCAACGCTGCCAGCTGTGCTCTCTCATCTCCTGCCTTATCAGGCTCTGGAGTGATTCTTTTGGCTACGCATGCACCTTGCATGTACACTGCCACGCCAGGTACCTCGGAGTGTTTCTTCTAGGGGTTTGGATTCCAGGAACTTGTCTGTAAAAGGCCAGTTCCTTCAAACTGAATCAGGTTTGTCAGAACCACAATTTAAAAACTGTTTATATGTTTTTATTAAAGATAATGAAAATAAGAAAAATAAGTTCAAAGTGCTACTGTTTCACCCCCCTGCCCCGAAGTGATGTTAATGCAATGTAATCTGCTAGAGCTACACTTTTTTCAAAGGTTTTATTTTCAGTAGCTGAAATTCATATGCATGTTTTCAAAAGATTTTAGAACATTCAAAAAATGTGCAGCGAAATTAAATAAGCATAGTTACATTTATAGATACATAGGGATTTGGTTTTGTTTGTACACATTTTAACATGATTCGGCTGCAAAAACATTAAGAAGTTGGTCCAAAATAAAACAAAAAGCCCAGCAGAAATACAGAATTTTTTCTTCAGTTTTGTTTGACTTCTGAAGAAACTACACAGACTTGTGCAATATCATCGTACTCGTACGTTCTCTTCAAAAACGTGTCTGTAAGTCTTAGGCCAGACACACTCTAGAAAGGAAAAATATTTATAGATGTTATTAGAACGAATTAATAAGTTTATAAAACAGATATTTTATTAAAAAAATATGCTATAAAGACTTACTTGCAATCCCTGCACTGAAGACAACAATGTAAGTGCAAGATGGAGGGATGAACTTGGGTGCAGCTTTCCAAGTTGCCTTCCCGAAACTCCACACCAGTGGATGGAACTGGTATTGCACATTTCTAAAACCAGATCCATAGTCCTTTCACTGCTAGATGAAATTAAAAAACAAGAATAAACCTGTGGGGTTTTTTTAAGCATTGACGGACTGCAGACACGTAAAAGCTTGATTACTTTATTATTCAGGTTACTATAAATCAAGCATTTATAAATAATTATAAGGTGGCAAGCAAGAATTACTGTGGTGCACAGTAATTCAGTTGCATATAGCTTTGTCCAACACCAGCATCCTGTCATGGATTTAGCACTAGTGGATGGCATTATCCTGCTTGCATTTTGCATGGAGCACAAGATTTTAATGAGAAGTATCTGCAAATCAGGTACATGCTTTAGTCCCTGGCTTCAGCTTCTATTTAGAATTAATTTAAATGTCACTCTTGGAACCCTTTTAAAAAGGGCTACTGTAGATCCCAGTGTAAACATAAATCAAGTCAAAACATGGATAGAGATGTACAGAGAACTATGGTGACAATGTTTAGCAGGCATTCCAGCAGTGGTGCGGAGCTAGCGGTAAAAGCAGACTAGATAACGAATAGCATCGTCTATTCTGATAAAATTACTTGTAGTTTAAAAAAATCCTACATACACACTCATTTTGTTGTAAGATGAACTAAGATGATTTGTGATTTAAGTAATGGGGTGGAATCTTAAATGATATTGCAGCCAGTTCTATGGAATTCCACTACAGATTTTTGGCAATCTCCTAGTTCAAACAGTAGTAATAGACTAATAGTTTCATGTTGCTACAACTCACAGTAAAGACCAGGTTTGTGCTGTTTCAGGAGAAAGTATTGAGAAGTGAAACAAAGTCAGCCACAACTTACCCACCTGGGAAAAAGCACAAGAATTGCATGACATCATTACCTGCAATTTGTTATTTTACATGTAATGTCAAAAGGTTCTTCCAAATTTACGGTGTCTGGTATGGTCTCCAAAGAAAGCCTTACATCGCCATAACCAGGAGCCTGAGAAGGTACAAGAATGCATGTTCTCAGACAGTAAAGCTGAAGTTTTTACTACTCAGGTTCTCATTTACTGCAACAAGCTTAGAACAAGAAGAATTTGAAGAAAGACAACTGACGCTTTGTGTCTTTGATTTGGACCCAAATCACAGCAGTGCTCCACCCACTACTGATGACCACCTTCTTGACAGGTTTAACAATTCCTTAGACAAGGATGGTCTGTGCAGCTTATTTATAGGAAATGACATGCACTTTATTACTAAGTTTTTCCAATAGTTCACATCCATGAAGTTTGAATACCCATATACAGTTCCTGAGAAGACCAGCTTTATTTTAAGCTCTCTGTCAAACAGATAACAGGTAACACTACGGACAATGTAAGCATAGTTTTCCTGCATAAACCCAACACTACTCCACATCCTAGGAAATAAGAGATTGTTCATTCTTCTTGCCATTTCAAGTCCTCCAAGCCTCTGCCAAAATAATTAATTGCCACCAGTTAGAAAGGCACATGATATGAACACTTGTCAACTACCCAATTCCGTCAAGAGCCGAACACATCTCGTATGGTCTACTAACAAACCTACGATAAATTCCTAGTTACTACCAACAGGGCTGATTCAAGATGGTAACCTGCAGATAAAAACCTTTAGATTTTCAATGCCCACAAATGATAGATCGCAAGGAAAAAATAAGGGAAAAGTTGTCCTGCCTGACAAAGCTTAGTTGTGACACATGTTCCAACTCTCCTGACTGAAGGATGCTGTAGTAAAAGTTACATTTAGGGCTTATTTAAAAGATATTCCCAAAGAGGTCTAGAAAGTCAGTAACCAACAGGTTGGGAACAAGTTTTAGTCATATACAATTCATGATGGATGGCAGATGACATTTCAGAAAGCGTATTAAATTGGACATTACAGTGAGCAAAGGAATGTCAAATCGATGGAGATTTCAGACCACTCGAGCAATGTAAGTTTGGAACCTATCAAGAAAGGGAAGTAATTATCCAGCACTGGAAAAAGGCACACATTTTCAGCTGCATCAGGTGACAGGAAAGAATCTACTGGAAAAAATAAAGCCCATTCCCTAAACAATGGGTAGTTTGCCATAACATTAGACTCTTCTTTTAATAGAGATATATTAGGAAAAAAATAACAAAACCAGTATTTTATAGAATACACTTAACCTGCAATTGACCAAATCAAGACAGGACCAGAGCAGATGACAAGTCCTAAACCAGGACATACCTGTTGGCCTTAACAATGAGATATCTGCAAGAACTGATGGCTAAAGGTAAAGGCCTTACAGTAACAGCAAAAGGAGGAACATAGTCTTCATCTAAAAATGAGATAATTGCTCAGACTACGGAATCAACTAGACAATTGCTTGCTTGCGCAACTCAAGAATAGTTTTTCTTTAACTTCGACTGGTTCTAGTCTAGTCTTGGACTGAATGCCCATGAGCAGGTGGAGCATCCTTGGCATACTGTGGACATGCATCTGTCTGGTTTAATGTCACCCAAAAGAACATAGTTGTGATTCTAAGACCACTCCACAAAAAAACCCCAAACAAATTATGCTATGTGGGGTGATCCAGGATACTTGTTTCAAAAGCGTATTCCTGATCTGAACAAAAAGTATGACAGGGGGCACAGTACAGGTTAAATTCTGGGCCTGTGGGGGAAACAATAGTTATAAGTGGTAGTAAATGGATTAGGAGGAAAATGATGGAAGGTGAAAGGAGTCTAGAAATGAAATAATCTGATAGCACTGAAAAGCTGAGAAGACAAGGAGTTGCAGTGCAACTCAAAGTGGAAAAAAAAAAAGGCAAACAAAACCCACCTGTTTGCTGCTTATCCAAAGGCAGATGTTGGTCAAAGTACACAAAACAGCTCATGTTTCTCTGTTAATCACTACCACAAAACAACAACAAAGAAAACAAATCCTGGAGTGTGGAGGTCTGTTAATCACCAATGTGTTTGAAGTGCCATTCTCCAAGGTCCAAAGACGGGATGCAGAGTGAGAGAATACTGATTTATAGAGGGAAAAAATATCTGTCTTTGAAGAGTCATGATACAAAAGGTAAGTTGAAAATGAGACAATTTATAAGTTAAAAAACAAGCAACAAGTCTGAAAGTAACCGGAGTAACGAAGTTTAGAAAAAAAAGGCAGTTTCTAATTTGATGGGGTTATACAGATAACAGTTCAATTAAAAACAAAGAAATTTCAGTGACTTAGCTGTGAACTTCCAAGATCCAAATTTGC